ATGTATATGTATATGTATATATAGAGTAGCGCTATTGGCTCCATTTTGTTCAAGCATGCCTGTGTCAGACCCCATTGGCCGTGGCCTTTCGGACGCGAGTGTTCCATAGTATTCTGACCTGGGACAGGTTCAGCTTCAGCTGCAGCGTCTTGGAGGGCGCTGGCTTTCGGCAGGCCATAAATTTGTGCTTCCTACCGGAGCAGCCTTGCATTAGAGCTTGACAAGGCAATACGATAAAGAAGAATAGCAGAATGTACTAGACTAGATTAGACTCGACTAGACTACATCACTGCAATATACTAGAATATGCTGTAATGATTTTCGGTAAGGACGTGCTAAACGATGAGAATGCCTCTGCTCCTCTGTAAAGACGGTTGTTGCTGAGGCGGTGGCAGGAGTCGTAGCGAAATCTAGCGAAAAGTTGAGCGTAGCACAAGACGCATAGAGACAGGACCGGAGCCCTGCGCAGGGCAAAGACCTCTGATGCCCAAGCTGGCATTTCAAGGAAGCTGATGCCCTTTGAATCTGGGGGCAGCTGTAGGTTTTAGACTGGAGCTTGGCATGTGCACCTTTAACAGAGAGCCCCCCTCCAGTGCCCTACGAGGTTTCGAGAAGAAAGGAGTGGTGCACATGCCCCGGCTGAACATGGCCAGACGCTAACGAACCATGCGGGGAAATCCGGTCCCATGCCCGAGCGCTGCTGTGATGCTCGCCTTGCAGCCATGAACTGGGACGGAGACACTCGCAACCAAGCCTACCATTTCCGAGCTGCTCATGTCAAGGCTAATGTAGTACTCGTTTTGCTAAGAGCCATGTTTTCCACCCTTGCCGCCATCGGCACACACAGTGTTCTGGAGGATGACCTGTCGCCACCTTGCATGAACCTGCAATCTTGAATGGTGCTGACCCAGCTCAGATCAGATGACCTTCCCCGGCGGAGTTACCGCGAAGAGTCCAGTCGGGTGGAGAAGAATGAGCCTTCCGGCGGTGGCAGTTGTTTGCAATGCCGGGGGGTGTTTCAGGATTGGCCTCCATGGAGCAGCGTCGCGGCTTTACTTTTCGGCTCAAGCCCTCGCGGGAGGAGGTCCGCCGATGGCCTTCGCAGCCTGGTTGCAGTACATGAGGGGCCCGGGCACTGGAGGTGCGCGTTTGGTGACGCAAGGCGCGAGTCAGAATTGCGGGGGAGTCTCTGTGTGCCGTCGTTCCAACACCCCTTTTAAAGAGCAGGACAGAGAAGCAGGTAGGATATTTTCTGAAAATTCCGACCAGAAGCAGCAGGATCCTTAGGATAAAGAGCCTAAACCCTAAACCCTAAAACCCCTAAACCCCTAAACCCCTTTAAAGCGGATCCCCAAGTTAGAAAAACCCCTCCCAGCGCGGATTTGTCGAGGTCAATTCCCGCGCGAGCCCGAAGCCGACAGGCCCGGATGTGAGGTTTCCTATGAAGGCTGCGAAAACGGCCGAGGCCAAAGAAGGAATACACACATATATATAGAAAAAATATTATGCGACAATGTATTGCAGTATACTATAATGTACCATGATGTACTACAACATACTTACAGTTTTGAGTTCGAGGTTTGGGTATCCTAAGTCTTGAATCCTCATGACTACTGAGACCTGATGTAGTCCCGACACCCTGAGCTGCCATGAACCTGAACCCATCCCAAATCCTGAACCCGAAACAGTTTGGAAGCATGAAAGGCTGTCAGTCTGGACAAAGGCAGGCGTAGCGCTCAAAAGGTTTTGTGCCTAGTAATAATAATAGTAATAATAATATTAATAATAATAATAGTAATAATAATAATAATACTAATAATAATAATGGACTACAAAGCTAACGACAACCACGGAGCGAGCCCGGCAGCCGGAACTGCTCACAAAGAGGCTCGGGGCTCCCAGTGGTAAGAAGGCGGCCGGTATCTCAGGAGGGCATGTCACTGTATGGATAGGTTCTACAGTAGTGGAGTAGTGGTTTCTGCACCTAACTTCTGCATAGACGGTGAGGATTTTTCATCCAGGAAACCGTTCAAGGGTGCCACGAGTCCTCTCAAGATCTTCCCACTGATCTGGCTGAGGCTGCATTGCTTAGCCTGCGCTGGGGTGTCAATGGGTCTGTGCCCCGGTCATGGGTTGCGAGCCAGCTGCTGGGGGTGTCTCTGGGGTTGGACGGTTTCCGGAACCTTTCTGATCTCTCAACCACCTGTACAGCACCTAGAGCATGGTTTGAGACGTCCCTGCGATCCAAATGGAAGTTTGACGACCAGTACCTTCCCGCCCAATATGGTGGTTTTGTAAGCCAAGCACCCTAAACCATTCAACACGTTTGGAGTTAGGTAAGTAGGCATTAGTTCTTACGGTGGTCCCCAATACCGCTGAGCGCATGCTATGCCAAAAGACTAGGCGAGGCTTTTTTGCACGCTCCTTGAACCCCACTTGCTCCAGGGGGGTCAGAACGTAGTTGAGCTGTGCCATAGCCCGCTGGCGGGGTGGGGTTTTGAGGGATGCGGCAGATTTTTTCACAGAGATCAGCCAGTGCATGGCAACGTGCCGTGGTGTAAGCTTGCTGTTTTTGCCCTCATGCTGTGTTGATCAAAGCAGGCCCACTCCCCAACACCCCTTCCGAAAGAGCGAGCCACAAAATACATGGGAGTGGCAGGAGGTGACTGTTGTGGGTTGCCATCAACGTGCATGGAAACGTTGGTTCATGGTGCTGCAAAAAAGAAACGATATTGCGAGTGTTGCAAGCATCAGGAAGTACAAAGGTGCTCGTGACTGTTGAAAGGAACCTGCGGCAGCTAGACATGATTGCGGTTGTCATTCGGGAGGAACGGCTCAATAGCATATTGACGAAACGCCTGTCCTTTGATACGGATGAAACGAAGGCTACCAATACGAAGACCCCTGAAAGAGGTGGGAGTCACTACTCAGGGACCTCATTATGCTACCTTGAGCTTCGATTTCGCAAGCTGCAGCTCAAAGCTCGAACGTTGAGTACCCTTTGAGGCCACGATGGTGGTGGCAGGGGAGATCCGGACGCGCCTGGTTGAGTATGGCGCCAGCCTCGGCTGCGGCAATGTGCAGCAGCGACAAGCCTGGCTTCTAAACGTCGTGCTTGACCAGCGTCGGAGCGCAGGAATGTGCCTTGCCAACCTACCTATAAGACCTTTCGTGTGAGAGCATCCCTTGCCGTCGTTTTTGCTTTCGTGGTTTTGACTTGAGGCAAGTTCAAAATCGTCATCATGGATGCCCCGTGTGACGAGAACTCGCACATGCCTGGAGCTTTGTGTGTGCTTCGCTGAAGTCGCATAAGAGGATTTGAGAGCCCTCGAAGCCTTCGGAACCGAGGTATGTGCGAGAGCTCAAGCAGCTGGGGGTCACTGATGTCGTGCCCCACGATCTACTCTCACTCCAGTTATGTCTAGTTCCTACCAGGGGTCCGGAGAGCATCTCTGGCCGTGAGCTGAGAGCTTCTCAATGCATCACGGAGATGCATGTAACCATAAAGTGGAGCAGATTGAAGCTGCTATAGTTGGGGTTCACTTGTCCAGTGCGGTTGTTTGAGTTCGACATCGCTTGCATCTTGCTTGTCTGCTGTGGGGCGCGAGGTACGAACTTGTGAGCCCACATACTCACCCGAGCTTTTTGAAAGAGAAGGTATTGAGGCACGCCAGCCAGTATGTTGCTGCACCTGTTCCGTGGCGACCGTCACGACAGGGATCTAGCCTTCAGACACCTTCTGGGGGTTTCCGAAAATAGGGGATCCTACTCTAGTACCCCAAATAGTAGGATTGCTGGAGTGGACCAGCAGGTTG